GTGCTCACCTGACCTTGGTGTGTGCGAGTACTGCTTTGCAGGCAGGTGCTGCTTCGTGAGCAGTAACACATCTGTAGAGCGGTGCAAAACGCATTGTGAGGACAGGCCACTACGCTCCATCCCACGTAGGGACTTCTGTAACACATAAATGTAGAACCCCCTGGCCTAAGAAATGCTCAGCAGCCTTTTAGGACATTTAACTTCTGTGTCTGACCTGTTCAGGTGGCCAGGAGCTCAGCTGAGCCGGGATCTTGGTGCTCACGTTGAGGTGAGGAAGAGGTGCCACCAGCTTGACTGTCACCCTGTTCTGCATTGCTCCGAGCGCTCTGCCAGCTGCTGCCAGACAGTGCTCAGGAGGCTCCAAATGTTATTTCAGCTAAATTACAATTTTACTCCCCCCGCCCCGCCACAGTCTTAAACGGCTTTTCAGGAAGGCTCCAGCGTTTTCAGGCAAAGGAACTTGACAGGAAAGCAGCTTTTAATCTGACTTTATTGAGTTACTGCTGTAAAAAAAAAAAAAAAGGTTTATGAGGCTAATCGGTGTCTCTGAGTAATTTTTAGTACTCAAACTCCATAAGGAGGAAATAAGGAGGAAAGACAGAACACCACAGAGTCCTAAAAAGAGGATTTTGCTTCGAGGTAGTTAAGAGTATCTGTTGTATTTAAACAAACTTTGCTAAAATTCCCTAAAATTGCAATGACTGCTACAGCACAGTGGTGTTTACTGCTTGCTAGGTTCACTTCATAATTAATTTTCCTGTTGTTATTTGTGCTGAAGGCTGTATCAGCATTAACTTAAAATCTTTAAAACTGGTCTGATCTTCCAGCGTTGTCAGGATTGCGGTATGTGGGGTGCTTGCTCTGTACAAGAGCAGCTTTGAACCTCTCTAACAGAGCCTTTTGGAACTTGAAAAACATTACAGGATTAAAATTTAGAATTAAACTTGTGTTTGACAATGCTTTAAAAACTTCCTGTGCAGTTTGGACTGCTTGATACAGCAAATTTAATTACAAAGTGTTAGTTGGTAGATGGGTCATGGGAGAAGGGTGGCAGTTGACCTCGATCCTCATGAGATTTGTGGCCCCTGCTCTTTGGTATGCCCAAAATCCTCCCTGCTAGCTGAGGGTGTTCGTGACGGGTAGCATAGCCATGAGCCTGTGGCACAACCATATCCCCTTGTCCCTAAAATACTTTCCTGGGAACTTAGAAGTACAAATCTGCTTTTTGGAGCTGTGCAGCTAACTTGTTGTTGGGAGTTTGGTGCCTTTTAATTAGGACAACTAGTTCAGGAGTGTGTGACAGCGCTTGGTCTTTGGGCAAGACTTTGTGAGTGTTGCTCTGCTTTGCAGCGTGCTCCAGCCTGCTCGCTGCTACTGGGGAACCAGCTGGTGCCTTCAGCCTATAAAGATGGGTCCAGTTGGTGCCCTCAGCTGTGGGCACAGCTCCAAGGGCAGGGGAGAAGACAGGAATCAAAACCAGGTAACTCAGCTTTGCTCCTGCAAAGAGCTTGCTGTGAGGTAGCCTTCCACGAGCTGAAAATGAAGAATTTAACATAAAGGGTACCTAATCCCTCACTCTTTTTAAAAAGCAAAACCTCCATTTGCCTAAAGATCAGAAGCAATCTGGAACAGTAATCAGTTTCAGCTTGCTGCTGGTTTTAGTTAAAAATCAGTGGTGTTGAGTTTTGAGTTCATATTGAGCAAAAAGCTCTTCCTTACTGCTAGGAAATATTAGCAGCCCTTGGAACTTGGGATCTGATACATGTGGTAGGACTGGCTTCTAGAGGATACCAAAACGCCCTTGAATTGTGCGTGTAGGCTGAATTCAAGTGTTCCTTAACTCAAGTAATTCCTTTTGGGTTATAAACTGCTGCTCAGTCTACCCAAGTAACATCTGGAAACAGCCGCTTTGCTGGGCGCTGGTTGGGAGCCCTTCGGAAAGGGCCCCAGTGTTCCCAGAAGACGAGACAGCGTCTTGGGTGGGTGCCGACGTGGGCCGTGCTGCGTGCGCTCCTCTGCGTTCATACGGGGAGGGCAGCTGTGTGCAATTATCATTCTCTTAAATTTGGTTCTGCAAATCAGAGAAAGGACTAGTGGAAGTCTTAATAGCATGGAGGCAGCTTAAAGAGGGTGAAAAATGTCACTTGGGCCTTGTCCTGTAGCACGTTTGGGGTGGCTGCTGGATCTTGTGGTTGGACTTGATGATCTTAAAGGTCTTTTGCAACCCTAATGATTCTTAGAGGTGTGCTGTGGGAGCGCGACTTGCTCCTTGGCATCGGAGCTGCTGTCCAGAGCTCTGCCACACTCCGAGGCCTGGGCTGAGACCTGCTGCTCTTGTCGGTGCTACCGCTCCACGCAAAGGCCTTTTAGTTTGTGATGCTTAAACCTGGTGCCAACTCTTAGAGCAGAACCTGAAATCCAGCCCTGTGTGTGTGAGTGTTCCTCATACCTCCTCTTTCTGGTGAGATGCAATGCAAAGCTTCAAAACCTACAGGTACTTCTAACTGGGACTGAGGATTGAAGGGAAATAGTATATTTGAGTAGGATTTTTGAGGAGCTGGGCGACTTTTGTCATGAGCTCCTCTTCCCGTGACGCTGCATCAAGGCTGCTCTTCCCATCCCTATGTGGGAGCCCTGCTGCCCTACTGCCCTTGAGCTGTAGGGTAAACACAAGGGGTTGTCGGAGTCCAATTAGATAATAAACTTATTCAAGCTGTGGCCAGAGTGTGTAGCTATTTTCCCTTGCATAGGAAAGACGAATAGTAGGTTGTGGTCTTGTGAGTAAAATCCATCTCCTTATAGTTCTACTTGCCCTACCAAAGTTTAGTATTTTTTTTGCATCCCATGTATATGTGTGTGTGTGTGTATATATATATATATACACATATATATAATACTGGGACTTAGAGATACAAGTGACAAGGTGGAGAGACTTTGACTTTTTTTTATTTTGTTTTTTAATGGATGCAATTAAGCAAAGTGTTGAATACTTGTAGCATTGGTCTTCTCCAGAAGATTTGAGGCCAACAGTGTTTGAAAATGGAAAATGTATGTATAACCTTCCATGCCCACCCTGACTTTGTGCATGTGCAGAGTTGCTTCATTCTCTCCAGCCGTGACTCGAGTGACCACAAAGAAGGTGCGTGGCTTTCAGGTGACTGTAGAGGTGTTGGTGAAGCAGTGTGTGACTGACTGCATGTTCCTGCGCCCATGTGGGACCCCAAGGCTGATAAGCAGGGTTTGCTCCTATCAGCTGTGCAGGAGGCTCAGTGGGAGCACCAGAAACCTTCAGGTGTCCATGATGGCAGGGAAGGAAGTTCCCACCTGGAGTCTTTAAGAGTTGGGAGCCTTCGCTGAGACGGAAACCAAACTTGCTGTTAGAATCACAGAGTGGTTGCGGTGGGAAAGGACCTCTAGGGATCATATAGTCTAATGCCCTGCTCCAGCAGTGACACCCAGGGCATGGGGCACAGGGTGGCATCCAGGTGGGCATGAAGATCTCCAGAGAAGGAGCCTCCACAGCCTCTCTGGGCAGCCTGTTCCAGGGCTCTGGTAAATCTGCAGTGGGGCTTCACCCCGTGTTGTGGTGTCTGACTGCTTGCGTGCAGGGTTGGCCAGGTTTGGAAGTTGAAACATCTAGAGGCCGTCGCCTCTTCAAGGGCCGAACTGCAGCCTGTGAAGGCCAGGAGGAGGCCAGGCTGGGAGCGGGTCTCCCCCCGCCCCCGGCAGCCTTTGTCCCCATGGTTGTCCTTCAGCGAGTTGTCTTCCGCGGGCTCCAGATAACCCCTCTCCCTGCGGATAAGCGCGAGCAGCCGGCAGGCTGGGGAGAACACGGGAGTGTTGCCTGGCTGCTGGATTCAGCTCTCGTCATAGTTCCCTGCTGTTTATATTTAGCTTCCCAGACTGAGCCAGCGCGAGCAAAAGCCCAGCCTGCCGGGCCCAGCGTTTTTACCTCTTTAACAAAGTCACGCAAAGCAGGTCAGTGGCTGAGCCAGAATTAGAGCAGCTAAGCTTGATTTCAGAGCTTTACTTCTATTTCCACTTCCCATTAAAGCTTCACTTCCTGAGCAAGAGGAGCAGGAAAACCAGCTTATACCTGATGCATTTAGGAGGAGCAGTTTGCTAACGGGAATTACTAGTGGCAGTGTCAACTTTTCTGCATGAAATGTGGTTCGCGGCGCTTTTTTTCTTGTGACTTGGGTGAAAATGTACTTTTAAACTGAAATATGGTATAGCTCAAAGCATTCTGAATTACTTGGTACATCCAGCTAGAGAATTTTTGAGGTTTTTAATAGGCTCTCTTCAGAATAATATTTGCATAATAGAAATACTTCTTAAAAATAGTTTTACTTGAATTGTGACAGTTTTCATGGGCTAGCACTTGCATAGCTGCATGAGGCCTTGCATTTTGTTCAGTTTGCTGACACGTGGATTTGGTGATAAAGGCAGCTGGGCTACTGAAATTTCCTGCACTGCAAAGACGCAGCCGCCTCCTTGAAACAGATAAATTCAGCACAGCAGGAGCAACTGGGGAGCTGCAGGAATACAAGGGTTAAAAAGAAGTCTAACACAGAGTGTGTCTGGATTGAAGCTGGCTTATCTTTCTGTGGCCTGCAGATAATGGTGTATATAACCCCCTGATAATGCTGGGGTTTCTTAAATTCTGTATTTTAGCCTTAATGAAGACAAAGTTGATGTGACTGGCTCTTGAGGAATATTCACATAGTCTTTCAAACTATTAAATTGCACCAGAGATGCATGCTAAATATTTCTAAATATTTTACTGTTAAGCTACAGCTTTGCTTTCTGGGCTACTGGCAATGGTTTTGTAGGGTTAATTCCCTTACAGTATCAGAAAAACATATCTTGTCATAGCCATGGTAGCTGAAGCATCACCAGTGGTGCTTTTGGAGTTAGTATGTGTTTGGCTTTGGTATTAAAAACATTGTTCTTGTTTTTTCTTTCAGGAGTTGAATGATCTGGCACGTGATCCTTTTTTGGTGATGACAGTGAGTACTCCAGGATCTGAATATTAACCCACCAAACACTTGAGTCACTAACTCTCCTCTTTCCTCATCTAGGAGAACCCTTCCAGTGTTTTGGTTAAAAATGTGCTAAATAATACTTTACATATAAACCTGATACTCCTGCCCTTCCGTGTCCCTTAATACATTCCTCATAAATCACTGAAGATCACTCTTCAGTTTGGGAGCTGTGGGCACTACATGCATCTTTAAGTGGCTTGGTTTTAAGTGAGTCTGCTATTTTCACACTGTGTGCTCTCTCTAGAAGCTTTTAAACTGCAGTAGCTTTCTGGGCAAAGCAGCAAACCAGCTCCCTACAGCTTTCAAGTTGGTTTGGTATCTAAATTATATGGAGATTAGTCCATATAATTTCCTTAGGATCCTGTAAGGAAATCGGTCTAGTCCTCACATTAGTACAGGGAGGTCAGGGTTAACAGTATTTAACACAGAAACTGAAGTTGCCACTGCTTTTTGTGAAAGGGTTACATGTAATCCTGAGGGATAGCAGGGCAAAATGTGAATGTAAGGGAAACTAATTAGCAAATTAAAGCTTGAATCATGCAGTAATTTTAGTGTTTTTGTAGTTTGTAATAGTTACCATGGTCAGTGAGTTATAGGAACATTGAAACATCCCTTGTTCTTTAATGTGTTTTGCGTTATTGTAGGGCACATCTGAGTGTAAGAACTGAAAATCAGGCTTGGCTCTTCTCCAGTTTTAAGCAGGAGTCTGCCCATCCTGGCTTACTGCTTCTGGATCGCTTGCTAAGCAAAATTAGGATGTTTAAATCCTGCTGTAATCAACTGGCTTGTCACTTGATGTGGACCCAGCCTCAAATGAGATAAGGAAGTGCAGGTAGCACGTCCGTAAATCAGATGGCCCTGCTGCGTTAAAAATAGTGCTCAAATCAGTTGGCACAGCCTGATTCCATATGCCTGGGAATGTTTGGCATGCGCGTCAGCTGGTGGTCTTTCCTGTTTCATTCGTATGGAAAGTTGCTCTCCTGATGTGCGTGCTTTGAACTTGTTTTCTCCTTTTTGAAGCTCCTAAAAATCAAGAAATGTTGAAGCAGGAAAAAATGTGTGTTGCTTACAAAGCCCTACTCTGCATTTTCTTCTCAAGTACACCCATTTACAGTGGGAAGAAAACCTGCTGCTATCTTGGCATGCCTTGGGCTGGGGAGAGGAAGTTGTTGTGTTGTTAACTAAGTGGTCTTTATCTGGATGCTGCTGTAAATCAGCGCTAGGTGATGTTCCCTGTCTCATTAGCTGTGAATAGGTCTCCCGAGTGAGCTGTTGGCCTGGCCCTCAGAATTTTTTTCATAGGATAACGTAATTTTAAACTGAACTGCTACATCTTCACACTTGGAAGCAGACTTTTCTCTAACTAGGCTTACACTTATTTTTGGTAAGCTTTTTTTTTTTTTTTGTAGTAACTCTATGACTTTTGCTTTGAATTTGCTTTTTTGTTCTGTTTTTAGCAAGGGCTCCTGGGCAAATGCGTGTGTTTGCACTGCAAATACCTTTGCATCAATACTTAATATATGAAACACATAAGTAGAAATAAATCCATATTTTTCATTTAGCAGCTCTGCCATATAGGAAATTCCATATAATGAATGCTTCAGCCACTTCAGTTCTGACTGCCATGCTGTTAAACTGCACAACAAGAAGTTACAAATTCATGTATCTGACAAATGCGCTGTTCAGCCTGGTGGCTGCCCCAAGAGTAGGAAATAATGAAAATTCAAGTTTCCTACTTCAAAATCAAGGTGTTTTTGTGTTTTAAGATGTGACGTTTGTGTATCCTTTTCTAAAAGGGGAAAAAATGAACTACTGAGATTGAGTCAATTTTGAACTACCTGAGTGCTGAAGTATATAGACACTCAAAGCTATTAAAAAAATCTAGGACTAAGTTAAAGACAGATTCGAGAATGAAAAATATTCGAAAATGCAGCCTTTTTTTAGCAATGCTTTCGGTCAAGTCAAAGCTGCATTTATTTTTGAGGATTCTAACAGTTGTTTCAAGCTCCTTTTGTTACTTGGTAATTTTTGTTTTCAAAATGTACTTGAGGGCGGGCAGCTGTGCAACTGCATAGGGAAACGAGTGAGAGACGGAGCCGGCCGGATGCTGCTCTTCCCGTGCACTTGCAGGGGCGGCTCGAGCCGTGCTCCGGGCTTTGGAAACTGCTTATTGAAGGGGAACAGCTCTGCTCGATTGTGAAACAGTTCATCAAAGGTGCTGGGGACGATCGGCTGGGGGAGGCGGGAAGATGAATTGATAAATGTCATGGAAAGTTGCTTCCTGTGTTCAGCAGTGCTGGTAAATTCATGTGTCTTCATGCACCTTTCCTTCTGGGAGAGCTGCTGAAAGGGTTTTGCTGAGAACTGACGTGTTGAGGTGTGAGGAGCTGAGCAGAACTGGAAACGGCCCTGCTTCCATAGGCAGCCCAGGGTGCTGATTCCGACCTGGCTCCCTTGCCCCAGTGCAGTTCCCCAAGGCCTGGAGCCCCCTGCACCAGGTGCTGCTTTTTCTAGTCCAGCTGATTAATTTCTTCCCTTTTACCAACTTTTTGCCCCTATATTTCATAAATCTTGTAAAGAGAGGAAAGCTGCTGGCACCCTGTTAGCTTCGTTCAGGGGTAGATCTTCTTTCTCTCAGTAATGCTGCTTTATTTCCCTCTTTCCTTCTCCCCAGCCCCATTTGCTTTGGAAAGACCCTTCTGAAGAGGTTGCACTGCCAAAGCTTTAATACAGTTCCCAAACACTACCCAGTGCCTTAGTTCACTCCCAAGCAGCTACCTCTGCTGAGCTGTTGAATGTCAGGCTTCCTTTTTTATTTGTTTTAAACCTTTTGGAATGGTTCCTTTCAAGTAAATAATTGATTTAAGTTTTGCTTTTTACATCTTAAAGTTCCTCAAACTTGTCCTGGATGTTGTGAGAATCAAAAGTCAAATTAAAGCATTTTGTTTTTCCCAGCTCCGGGACGGGTGTCAGAAAGAAGCAGCCATCTAATCTGTAGAAGTCGAAGGCTCCCTGGCAGAGCCCTCCCAGCCCTTTGTGGCTTCTGTAGGGCCGTACTGGTTGCAACAGCTTGTCTGTTTTGAAGCGTGCAGGCCGTGTGCACGTTAACATCCACTGTTACCTGTATTTTCTAGAGGGTTATGGATTCATCTGCAGCATCTCCTTGTGCCTGGGAAATTCCTAGCTCTTGTTCCATACTTGCAGCCCCCTTGCTGTTCTCCTCTCCTTGGCCACCCCCTCTGTCCCCTTGCTCCGGCCTGTTCCGCAGGTCGCGCCGGCCAGCTCTGCAGCTGACTGCAGTATTTTAAGGTGGTCAAACACTACCTTTGGTTGAGTACACAAGCCATTACCTTGATTTTGCAGCTCGGCATCAGTTTAGTTTTTCTTTGCTGGCTGGTGGTGTTTAAAATGCCTCCTGTTACAAACCTGTTAATACTAACCTCTGTTCTCCCTTAGCCTTGGCTGTTTCTAGTCCACTTTTTTTGCCCTTGTATGGTAGCTTACTCGGCAGTGAGGCCTGTACTGTGGGATTAAAAACCACTCGTGCTAGAACAAGTAGTGCCCCTACAGGCCCAGATTACTCTGACACAGGTAGCAGCCTTAAAAGCAGCAGACAGGAGTTGCAGGTTATATTTATGACATGGATGGTTTCAACTCCTATATTGTAAGTAGGAATTGAGAAGACCTGTTGGTAGCAGCCAGGCAATCTTCTGTACAGCTGCCCTGCTCCGAAGGTACCGTAAATACGTAGCTGATGTCTGTGCAGAGGGAGAGCTCCTGTAATACTGCTGAGCACCTGCTAAAGCGCTGCAGCTCGAGTGGGCCCTCACTGCACCCTGCAGAGGAAGCAGAGGAATCCCAGGGCGATGTTGGTCTGCATGAGAATTCCCTTTTTTTCCTTTCTAACAGCACTGATCTTGCTTGTTTTCTGCACCGTAAAGGCATTCTCCACAGTCCTCTATTACCAGCCTTATGTATTCTCTTGAACATGTGAATGAAACTTAATATTAAATTGATTTAACCTACAGCATGGGCTAGTACATCCTGCTTTCAAATACTTAGCTGGCTTTGCTGTATTCCTTTGTCATTCTTACCTCCTAAAAATGATCTTGGTTTCTGTTCCTCTGAAATAGAGGCAGGGTGGAGACTTAGCTAAAATAGATGCAATGCTGGGTTTAGGTCGTCTCTAGGCTAAGGCTTGGTCTTGCCCTTGGGTTGGCCCTTCAACGAAGAGCCCATATGGGAGATATGCTGCCTAGGGAAGGATGTGCTTGTGCTTGGCTGTAAGTGGCTCTAAGAGGGCGCTGCAGGCACTGGAAACTGGCCTTTGGTTCAGGTTCTTGCAGAAACCCACGGGAAACTACAAAATTGAATGTACCAGTCTGTAGGAGGTTTAAAACAGTGACTCTGACTGCCCGGGTTTTTGTCGGGAGGGGATGTCTGGGGCCGGGTGATGGGTGTAAACCGCCACGGCAGGCGCTGCAAGTGTAAATCAAGTGCGAGTGGAGCATCGGGCGCTTCATCCTGTCTCTGTTCGGCTCTTTGGCTCGCCTCCCTGCAGCCTTTCAGAAGGTTTTGTTTTACAAATAGACTCCTGCATTGTAGCGCTTTGTCTGCAAGGAAGTGGCTCATTGCTTGAGCTTCTCTGGGCTGAAACTGTAGTAAATCACTTTTTCTCTTTTTCAGTGTTCCATTGGCAAGCTACAATAATGGGACCTGTAAGTATGAAAGAATTGATGTTCACAGACTTTTTAACTGTCTTTTTAAGACTAGTTCTCTCGTAAACAACTCCTCCAACTCAATATTGATTCTTCTTCATTTACAGAACGACAGTCCCTATCAGGGTGGCGTATTTTTCTTGACAATTCACTTCCCAACAGATTATCCCTTCAAACCACCTAAGGTGAGTGGCTTGTGCTGTGAATCCCTGTAGCATCATATGTTGCAATGTACATTTGTGAGCCTGTACTGAACTTCCCCTTCTTCTCCAGGTTGCATTTACAACAAGAATCTATCATCCAAATATTAACAGTAATGGCAGCATTTGTCTTGATATTCTACGGTCGCAGTGGTCTCCAGCACTAACTATTTCAAAAGGTACCTCCTATACTTATTTAATTTTACACTGCTGAAGTGAATTACTTGCTGATCTGGGTATTGAGTTTGGAAAAACTGCTGTGTTTCTACCCTTCCCTGCCCTTGTGGCCACAGCTTTGGTTCTGTGGCCCCACATCTGCCTCCTGCCTGGCTCGTGAGTGCTGAATGCTCTGCATTCCATCTGCCTCCCTGTCTCCATAGGGAGGCCGTTTAGCTCTGCCCCCGGAGCAGGTAGGTCTGGCTAATGGTCTCCCCATGGGGAGGGGAGCAGATTGACTGCACTTGAGTCCAAACACTTGAACTAAGAAATAGCTTGAAACTCGTGCGCGAGAACACGGCTTCTTCAGGGTCTAAAAAGCCACGTGAGAGACCATGTAGGAAAACAGGTGTGTTCTTAAAGCGTCTTAAAGAATATCTGAAACCTACTTTTTTGGTCACTGAAGATGGATCTCTCTCTTCGAGAACATCAGGAATTTGTTGCTTAGTTTTGAAAAATGATTTACGAGTCTGTAATACTGGAAGATTTCTTAAAAGTAATTGGCTTGCAGTATTTTTAGTGCTGCTTTTAGCCAAAGAGTTTTAGGTCTCCCTGGAAGCTCTCTTGCCTATTAAAGCAGTAGTCACATTGTTTAATGCAAGTCAGTGGTATTCTAAACTGCTTGAAAGAAGACTTGGCCTTCTAGCTGTTGCCTTGCAGGCACAGCAATTCAGAAAAAAAACTTTAGATCTTTTCTGCAAGTGGATGATGTCTTGATCATTCCCTTCTATAGCTGCACATTAGCTCTGTTACTAAAACTGCTGCCAAGTACTGCAACTTTTGGGAAATACTTTTAAGTATCTGACTTAAAGTTATTACCTCTAAGGGTATTAGAGGACCCTTCACATCTTTCCTGGCTCTAGCAGGTTCTCCTGTTGCCCATAATACTTCCCTCCAACTACATGTGCTATTATTCCTAGGACAGTTTCTTTTGGTTCAGCCAGGTGGCTCCTATTGGCCTTCTCTTCCTTACAGCTGTCTCCCTCTAAGTGAACCAGGCAAGTTCCTACCTTCTGTGTCCAGAGAGGCTTCTGCATTTGTAGAAGCAGGTGGGAAGGCAAAAACAGTATCTGCCCTGGCCCTTGCCACAAGGGAATCCGCCAGTGCATGAAGCTCTGAGTCTTCACTGTGAGTTGAAAGAGCTGAAGAAATGATAGTAGTAAGGGGCAAAGGGTTGTGAGGTTGGCACCACTTCCCTTCTCAGTGCTGGCAGTCAAGTGCTGGCTTCTGTTGGAGACAGAAAGATGCCTTTGTGGGATTAAATTGTTGTCTGTTTGTAACGCTGTGGTTGGAGAATAGGTGACAGTAGTATCTCTTTATTCATTTCAGAGCTTCCAAAGTGGCATTATCTAAGAGGCTGGTAAATAGGGTATTTTCTAGTACTTCCAAGAACACTGTTAGTAGGAGAGTTAAAAGCATATTACAAGAATTCAAGAAATGAATGCGCTTTCTCACCATGGCTGTCCTAGTAAGTTGGCAGAGTCATAAAAAGTCCAGTCTTGATGTTAACTGTATATGCGTTGCAAAGCGCTCTGTGCTCTCGAGCTGCTCCCCTCTCTGCCCTGAAGTCCTTTTTTCCCTCTGTCACCTCCTGGGTCTGCTTCAAACTGCATCCTCGGGCCTCGGCTAGAGCACCCCCAGCAGCAGCGCAGCCATGTGGTGCTGCGGAGCCCACGCGCTCCGGAGCCTTTATTACTTCTTCTTCTCCAGTGCCTTTATTACTGTTCCTCGTTCACTTGTATGAGCCCACAAACTGCTTTGTGGCATGACTTAGAGGTTGAGAAAGGTCTTTCCTATTGGCATTTGTTTCACGGAAGAATTAAAAGCAGCAAGAGGAATTCTTATGGATCACTTTATAGAAATCAGGAGCATTGCTCCCCAAAATAACAGAGGTGCTCGTCGGAAAACACGACACAGCCTGTTACAGGGGAAGACCAACTACTTGCTCTACAGATGTTATCTTGAACAAGCATCAATATTTTTCTGCAAAGGCAGCCTGAGTCTTTTAGGGCAGGCAGCTTTTTCCATCAAGTTCAAGCTCTTCAGGACGCCTAATCACAGCACTGGCAAAGAGCAAGTGTCCTGTGATAGGAAAAGTGGTAAGATTAGGTAATTTAGGTGAACAGCAAGATTAGAAATATTAGTAGTTAAGCTTGAAACTTGTGTTGCTGTTCCTTCAAAAGCAATAGCTTCATATTGGTAGCAGGAATTTCATTAAATATTTCCTGGCTTGTGGTACCTTTACAAGGGAGTAGCAGTGGGAGCAAGCTGTTGAAAAACTTTGGCTGAAACATAGCTCAGAAAGGAGTATTTATGCTGAAATCATACAGGGAGGGCTAGAAACTGTCCTTCTAGGAACCAGTTCATCACAAGCGACTTTCTTCTGAGGCGTGTGGGAGAGATCAGTCAGCTGCTCGTGTGACTGGATAGTCTTTTGCAATTACTGTGGAGTAGCCCATACTTCTTGAACATCATTTTCCCCTGCCCCATCCTGCCAGCAGGGACGTTAAGGGGGATGCAGTAGCTTGGTTTAAATCTGTGGCTTTATTTGGTGGAAATAGTGGGAAAAGACTGTGTCAGTGCTACTTAACTATCCAATGTATGTTTTATTTAGGGATATCGGTTCCTTGAGCTCCAGAGGAAGGTAGGGGACTCCAGAGGGCATTTGGAACATCTAGTTTGGGAGCCTGTCCCTGTCGTCTTGGCTAGGTTAGCAAGGTCACTACCTATCAAAGGATAGAGATGTTTATATCTAATTTCTTAAAGTATCTTGGATCTGACTGTAGAGGTGACTTACCAGCTTGGATTTGCTTTCATTTTTTAATGATTGCCCCTCCTAAACTTGTTAAAATGGGATTTGAAGGGTTTGGAGAATGACCCCAATATCTCATGAAATAGTAAAAGCTAAATTGCTGCTATAGTTATGCTATAATATTCTACTGTGAATATTCTACTCCTCAGTGAATATTTTTATCTTAAAATACTGTCTCAAGCGTGCACCTTGGTAGCTGATTCAAATGTCAAAGATGAAGCAGAAGCCATAGGCTGAGAGTATAAATGTTCTCTTACCGTATTCACACATAAGAATTACTGCTCTCTGAAAATCAGGGGTGAGCAAAATGTCTTAAACCGATTATAAGTTTTTAACCATTTTGGGAAATATCTCGCTTTTTCTTTTTCTCTCTCTTTTTTTTTTTTGGCAAGCGATGTGCTAGAGTTGAATATTAACCATAGTAGCCCTTTAGAAAAGGTCGGGACAACTTGCCCTTCCCCTCACACTTCTCCCCAGTGTGTCTTGACAAGTAGTGTTTTGAGGAACCCCGTGGAGCTTATTCAGTGTGCTGGGAAATTCTGTGCACGGAGTGTCTGTGAGTAACTTGAGTGTCCCCCGGTGAGCTCAGATTGACACCATTTGCTGTCGCATGCACAGTGCAATATGATTTTCTGTGTTGCTGTTCTTAAAGGTGCGGGTATTTAACAGTTGCTGTTCTTCAGCTTTGGGACATCTCAAGTGCTGAGCTGTCTTTAAATGAACTTCATCTTCCATCCTCAGTTGCATGGGTGAAGACTCAGCATTTCTGTAGCTCAGATCACAAGATCTCTCAAGTCCTAGCCTCAGAAAAGAGGAACTTGGTTACTGATCATTCTCTTGGCTTCTGTTCATAATGCTTCCCCAAATATGGGGGAGGGAAGGAGGAGTCACAGGTTTGCCACAAAATTGTTTGAGCTTTATGGGAGCCCTCCCAACTTTTCTGTGAACTTTGTCATCGCTTGTGTAACTGCCCAGGTGTGTTGCACTGGGCAAAACTTAACCTCTCTCCTCTTATCATCCAGAAATTATTCAACTGGCTTAGCAGGAATTTAAGTTACTTTGTAGCAAGAAGTTGAAGCTACTCAGATTTAAAGCTACACTTCTGTAAGATTAGGTAAGATGGCTGAAAGTGTGAAATGGGAATGTGGCACAGTAGGACCTGTCCAGAGCAGAGTCCAGGGCTGTTTTTCTGAGTGTTCTCCCAGATGCATCCCGACCCTTCACAGTCACAAGTCTGTTGCTCAGGAGCTAACATGTGAAGTTGTCCCTGGGAGAAGAGCCTCTTTGAGGTGCTCTTAGACTCCGTGCTTTTAACTGTGGGGAAAAATGGGTCAGTGTTACCTCAAAAAATGATCAAACAAAGCATCTTAACTGAAATACGAGATTAAAATATGAGTGGGAAAAAAGAATATAAAGTCAAATTTCTTAATCTGCTTGGTAGCACATTAGGCAGCTGATCACTCATATGACACCCTTGCTTCCAGTGAAATGGTTTCATCTGAGTCAACCCCTTTCCACTCATGTGTTTCCCAGGACACACTGGCTCTTTGAGCTTTAATGCACTTTGTGGCTGTGCCTGTGCTGGTTCCAGGCCCTGTGGTCCTCCCAGGAGCCCTGGCAAGCTTAGCCCCTCATGTGAGGAGAATGTATCCATGCAGGGTAGGGATTTTCCTTTCCACTCGGTTCTCAAACAGCTGGAGAAGACCTACTTGGATCTTGCTAGTCCTTCAACCATCACATGCTTGCTCTGTGCTTGTCCCCAAAGGAAGTCCATAACTTTGATGTTGAGGTCCCTCAGTGATGCACCTTAACCAGGAGGAGCTGTGGCTGCTGTGAGAAGTGGGGCAGCTGAATAAACCCTCCAAAACAGAATTAATTGCTGAGTAGTGGTGTGTATGCACAACTGTAACTTATGCTAGCAGGGGTGTTTCATAATCCCCAGAGTAACGAACTGAATTGAGCTTCAGCTGACAAGTTTCCTTATTGTCCTATCCAGAAACTGGCTTTTGTGTTCGTTGACAGGTCAGGAAGCCCAGTACTACATGGCAGAGCCTGTGGCCTGTCTTCTAGGATGATGACAACTCCTCTCTCCCAGGAGGAGCTTAAGTGGGAGATGTTAACAGCAGTATCTGGAGCAGAACAGGCAAGGAC